TTTTTGGCAATTATAAAAAATTCTAAACACAATTGTAAAAAAAATCACTTTTATTGACAATTTACATGCAAAACAAAGTGTCAAGCGAATTGTATTCGGTATAGTAATTTTTTTAGGCAATTGGAACAAATTCTAGATCTAATTGTAGAAAAAATTATCACTTTAATAGACAATTTTCATTAAAAAAAAAAGTCAAATGGACACCAAACTTTCCACATTTTTCAGGTGGAAAATATACCAATCAAACACAAATAATTACAATTCCAGTAAAACAATTTCTTGGCAATTCAATTCACTGTAAAACATTTTCTTTTCACCCATTTTTCACCCTTACAATCGAACGGACTCTAGGAAAATGGGTGGAAAGAAAAAGAATTCCAGATAAAGTAATTGCTTAGAACCTGTTTTCTATGGAATTGTTAATTAAGTGTATTTAATTGATATAATTTTTCACCTGAAAAATTTTAAAGTGATAATTTTTTTCACAATTTGTTATAAAATTTATTTCCATTGTCAAAAAATAAAAATAAAAAACAATAAAGAAATATTTTCTAGAAAGTCATTTTTCATCAAAGTTTAGTATTCGTTTGGCTTTAGTTTATATGTAACTTGTCAATTAAAGTGAATTTTTTTTTACAATTAGTTATGAAATTTATTTCCATTGCCAAAAAAATTAAAAAAGCTGGAACTTCCATTTCCCACCAAAAAGGTGAGAAAAACAATTCAAGCAAATCCAATAAAACAGTCTCTTGAGGAGCCAATGTGGAAAACCAAATGCCAAGAAAATTATTATCATCAAACACTACAAAACTTGGAAAATGGAAAACTAATTTCATTTTCCATGAAAAATGTGGTGTATCAAATACAACCTAAGCTAAATTGCAATAGTCATCCTCTACTTTTTCATTTTTTCATTATTATCCTCAACATTTATTTTTCTAAGGTAATAATCAATATCTCATGTTTTAGTAACCTCAAAAAAAACTCAACTAAAGGCACCCACAGTGGAAATGGCATTGGTGAAAGGTAGACCATTGGAAAGTGATGAATCTAAACCCAAACAAACACAAACCTGAATCAAGTAAAGTGGAGGATATCAAATCGGGCTTTTTTCACCTGACCATTTTCCTCAATCGTATGATTTTAAAGTGAAGGAAATGGTCGTAAAAACTGACCAAAACTGACCAAACCTACCAACTTGGGATGGATTATGTTGGGTTGGGTTGAGAAATCAAATTTGAAGTCGGATTGAGTTGGATCTCGGGTTATAAATTTAAACTCATCCCAACCTAACCCAACCCAACTCAACTCAACTTGATGAATTAAAAAATGTAATATCTAAAATAGAAAAATCTAAATAGATACAATAATGAAGACAAAAGAAGAATTTAGAATTTACAAACGTTCCTTTTTTAGATAGGTTAATTGGTATGAATAATATGTACAAATGCAAACAACTTGGCGATAAACTAAAAATTAACGACGTTATAATAAAATGAATAAATTCCAAAAAAATTATAAAAAGAAAATACTCCATAGTTTCAAACTTATTTATAAAATAATTTTCAGAAAGAATTTTGTACATAGGTCAAAAATAATAGAGATTTTCAAGTGATTTCAAACTTTAAAAATTGTTCAAATTCAACAACAAAAAAATTGTGGAAATTATGATAGACCAGCATTTTTAAGATTCAACTTAAAAAATCATATCTAAACTTTATTTATACAAAAATCAGATATTAATTCAACTATTATAAATCAATAGTTTAATAATAATAATTTACACACACACCATATTTCATCCAACCAATTCAAACCCTAAATCATTTTATCTCCATTTTCCATTCTCACTTCTCTCCTCTCTTCACCTCCCGTCTTTCTCTATGCTCGCCCTTAGACCGTCGTAGCCGCCTGGTGTGTCCATCCCCGATGCCACCTCCAGTTGCTGTTGTGCAGTTGCGCCTTGATGTGAGCGTTGTGGCGACAATGGCGACATCGTCGCTACAACGATGTGCGCTGCCCGATGTGAGCACCGCACAGCATTTGACGGAGTTGGAGGTGGAGTAAGTTGTGGTTTTGGTGTTGGCGGAGTTGGATTCATGTTTTGGGTCTGTGGTTTGGATCTATGTTTTTGGATATGTGGTTTTGGATCGGTGGTTGTTTTTGTCATTAGTGGTGCGGTGCGGTGTGGTGGTGGTGCGGATGCGATTGCGGTTGCGATTGCAATTGCGGTGGTGGCAATGACGGTGAGTTGTTGGTGCAGGTGGTGGGTGATTCGTACTGAGCGGTGATTGGACGTTCTATGGTGTATGTGTGTTGTTTTGTGTGTATGCAAAGGATTGTGTGGTGGCACTGTTAAAGTAGAGGTGGCGATGTTGAAGTAGTGGTGGTATTTGATGGTGGTGTTGGTTTGTTTGAGATGGTGGCGGTGCTGGTAGTTGACGTGAGGTGGTGGTGGTTCTAGCAACGACGGTACAGCAGCTAGACGGTGTTGGTGCTGCTAGTAGATGTTGTTGGAGATGGGTCTGTCGAGGTGGTGGTGGATCTATCGAGGTTGCTGTCAAGAGGTGGTGGTGGTGGTGGTTCCGACGACGACGATGGCGGTGGTGCTGCTAGAAGGAGTTATGAGGTAGTGGTCACATGTGTTAATTGTGGTCACAAATTATTTGGTTGATTGTGATTATTAAATTGGTTAATCTGTGACCAATAAATGCTATGCGAGCAAACGAAAAAGATAAATTGTGATCAAGAAATAATGTATGACCTAAAAAATTGTTAATTTGTGACTGTCTGATAAGTTGTGACTTAAAATACTTGTGATTTGTAACCAATAAATAAATTGTGACGTATAATTTTTTTTATTTTATGATCGATGAACAAATTATGATCTATAAAATTTTTGAAGTGTGACCGTAAGATAACTTGTGACATAAAATTTTTGATTGAAAATTTGTGACTGTCTGATAAGTTGTGACTTATAATATTTGTGACCGATAAATAAATTGTGACGTATAAATTTTTTATTTGTAACCGATAAATAAATTGTGACCTATAAAATTTTGAATTGTTAAAGTAAAATAATTTGTGATGTACAAAATTTCTGATTTGTGATCGAAAAATAATATGTAACTAATTAAATTATTAATTTGTGACCAAATTATATAGATTTGTGACTTTAATATATTTATTTAATAAAAATATAAATAATTAATTAAATCATAAATAAATTTTAATTAGTATCCTATTCTTGAAATTTGAAACATTTCTTCTTAGATTTGAAATAGGTAATACTTAACCTCTTAATTATGAAATTTTCCCAAAAAAATAACTTGATCCAATTTGAATTGGGCTCAGTCCAAACAGACCAACCCAACCCAACCCAACCCAAGTTTGATGGGTTTGGGTTGGATCGAGTTTGAACTAATAATTGAATTGGGTGGATTGATTTTAAATTAAGGGAAAAATTCATGGTTTAGGGATTTACTTTGAGGAAATAAAAAATCAGGTCCCAAAGTTTAAAATTACAAAAATCAGGTTTTTCATAAATTAATTAATTATATTTCTATTATTATATTAAATTGTAATATAATATAATTAACCCACCCCACCGCTACCGTTGCTCCGACGACTACTACGGTGATCGACGACCACTCCGACAACTTTTTCGAGGTCACAGATCAAAAAATTTGTAGGTCACGGATTATTTTGAGGTCACAGATAAAAAATTTTGTAGGTCGCAGATTATTTCGAAATCGCAGATTATGTCGAGGTCACGGATCTAAAATTTTATAAGTCATATATTATTTGGAGGTCACAAATACTAAAAAAATCACAATCGCTAAGTCACAGACACCAATAGTTGGTCACAGACGACCAAATATTTGGTCACAGACACTTCGTCCCATTCGCCATCTAACCCAATCCCTAAAACACCCACCAACAATAATATACAATTTATCTCGACAAATAGACACCAAAATATAGGAGGCAGCCCAAACGTCTACTCCAGATGAAATATACAATTTATCTCGACTAACAGACACCAAAATATAAAGCTTCTAAAATAAACATAGCACCAAATTGTTATTCAGCATAGTGATAGAAATAAATAAAAACCATTGCAAAATTTACACTACTTATTCAAGGAATTGGGTTTAGCCTTGCATCTGTTGAC